ATAACAAGATAACAAACTTCCAACATAGAACAGTAGCATTCTTATTCTCACACAAGCTAGACTAATTTGAATCAATCAACTCGTTTGTCAATATATCTAAGTTCCTAATAATGTACTAGAGTTACAAAAAGGATTGAGTAGCCTCTAGTCCAAGTATAGAGTGTAATGAATAGAAAAAAAAAACTATACTCCAGGAACCAACAAAGTACCCTAGACAAATGTACAAAAGCATGATCAGAAACGAGCATCAAAATAGACAAAACAGCTGTCAGGGTTGATTCTGCACCACATATATATAATGGACGTGTCACGCCGATCAATGGTCATGAACTGGGAAATGTCGAAAAATTGTCCACTCGCCGTGCACTTAAAGATGCGTGTCGCTCTAACCATTATGAATTATTTCTCAGGATTTTTGATCCATTCTATTCCAATCAAAATTTAACCTGTTATGGGATGCTTCTCAATTAGTAGGAACATCCTTTTGATGTCTGGACAGTGTAAGAATAAGGTGGTGGCATACAATACACATAAATCATCACCAAAACAACTTACTTTGTACACAAACGTAACAACCACCAACTCTAATGATTCAAAACAAGAAAGGAGGTTGGAGAATTATTACTAACTTCTGGAATAGTGGAAGATTTTCGGGAGCAACATAGAACAAGAATCCTCCAAAAATGCACCTCTTCACTTGAATCCACTTCTAACTCCAAGAATGGCAACCACACATGAACACAAAAGAATTCTCTCTCAATCTAAGTGATGTTGATTGTAAATAGGGTTAGATTCCTGGATTTGTGGGGTTTCTTAGTTTAAATACTCCATATGTTACAATATAGGCCCTCAAAGTATGACAAAATGATTCTTTAACGCATATACATGATCAATAATCATTTTATTACACTTTCCCCTCGTAATTTAACTTTAAACCAAGGAAAAATGTTAGTTTAATCAAGGAAATTAACGAAACACAAATCTTGATGATGGAAGGAAATTTTGGATTTTGACACATGAAGCAAGGCATGCTTTACAAGGAATGATCAATTGCCTTGATTCTACGTATTGGGCGTGGGAAAATGTCCAAATATATGGCATGCACCATATAATTGAGGTGATATAGGTGAACCGACTATGATACTGGAAGCCGTTACTTCTCATGATTGTAGATTTTGCATGGGTGATTTGGGGTTGCTAGGTCTAACAATGACCATATTGTTCTTGGTTAGTCCTACATTTTAACCGATATATGGATCGAGCGGGCACCTAATATGTCCATCACGACACATATACAAGATCTCAAACATGATTACTACCTTTATGATGTGATATACCAAGATTAATTCACCTTTGCGAAGGAATATGCGATACATCCAACAGAAAAAGGAAAGATATTTACAAAAATGCACGAATATGCTAGAAAGGATATAAAGAGAGCATTTGGAAACATCAAGCAGAAATGACATTTAGTTAGGGCTGTCAAATCGGGCAGTCGTGTCGTGTTTTTGTTTGACACGACACGACACGACAAGGTTTTGGATGACACGAACATGACACGACATGATGTCGTGTTTTTTTTCATTAACACGAAAACGAACCAGTTAAAACACGACAACACGACACGACACGACAAAGATAATATTACATAACTATTAGTGTATTTCATTCATACTTAAAGATATATAACACGATAAAACGACAAACACGAAAAACACGACAACCATATGCTTAGTCGTGTCAATTTCGTGTCGATTTATGAACACGAACACGACACAACACGACATCGTGTTTTTTAATTTTGACACGAACACGAATTCAAATTTTGATTTCGTGCCGATTTCGTTTCGTTTCGTGTATTTTTGTCGTGTCGTGTCATAAATTGACACCCCTACATTTAGTGAAACACGTTGCATGATTTTGGAATAACAAAAGGTTACAAATAATAATATGCAAGTGTTAGGACAAATATCATAAAAACCTTAAATTTTTAACATGTAATTGGAAAAAGCTCTAATATTTTTTTTATTGTTATGGTCACAACTTTCTCGCAGAATTATCACTATAGACTACTTAACGAGTTTCATAGTTAACTTGGTTAACTTTTTTGCAAAATCAGTCCTAAAAAGTTTAAATTTGGTGTCTAATGTTTTCAAAAACTACACCACATGGTTTTTTAATTTTATTTTTCGTTATATATATATATATATATATATATATATATATATATATATATATATATATATATATATATATTCGTTTTTATCTATACTTTATTTATTTTTATTTTTTAACTTTATTTTTCAACAATTTAACATTTTTGACCTTGTTTTCAATTTTTTAGTGTATATATAAAGTATATTAGAGTTTTTTTTAGTTTTTTTTTTCATATTTATTTTCATATTATATTTTATTTTTTCCTTCTTTTTATATATTTTTTTCTTATTTGCTTTCCAATTATTTTTTATTTTTTTATTTTTAAATTTTTATTGACATTTTTTAAAAATGTAAAATATATTAATATATTATACTATATTACAATTTTGATAAGTTATAGTTTTTGTAATTTATTTATTTTTATTCAAGTAAATAAAATATTTGTGTTTATATTTGTAATTTCGATGCAACTTATTTTTTATATTTTTTTTTCTTTAGTGCTATTATATTTATGTTACAAAAAAATAATTATAAAAAAAGTTAGCTTGTTTATTGAGAATTAGTTTTCCAGTATGTGATATAACTTGCAAATTAAATCATATTTATATATGTGATATCAATAGTTTAAATTCAAGATAATATTTCAATTTGATAATAGACTAAATGAAAGAACAAAAAAAATAATAATAGTCGGTCTCTGTAAAAAAAACTTGTTATTGTAATTTATATTTAATTCAAGTTTGTTTACTTGAATCAAATTAAATAAAAACATTAGAAAAAATAGAAATAACTAAAATAAAAAAAAATAGAAATCAAAAGGTAAGAAGATAAAAAAAAATCAAATTGTTTACAAATAAAGTTAAAAAATATTGCTGTTATCCAAATTCTCTTATTTGCATGTCAATCTTATCGAGTATTCTCTCTAAAGAAAAGGGATTCTAAATATAATTCTCATTTTTTTTAATATGTCAATTTGTCTCTTTTTATTACCTTACCCGACTTCTGTTCAAGAAGTTCATTTTTTTTGGGCCAAGCAGGTTTCTACCGGAGATTCATCAAGTAATTTTCAAAGATAACACGAACAATGGGCCAACTCTTGCAAAAGGTTGTTGATTTCGAGTTCAATGAGGCGTGCAAAGTGTTATTCCTCAAATTCTCTTTACGTATCAATCCAAACCACTTGATGGTGCGGAATCTAAATCAAGTGGATGATGAAATATCAAATGGAGAAGAAGAAGAAGAAGAAGAACTTTATGAATCTTGAATGTATTGATGATTAGATTGATGATCCAACGTACATGATCCAAAAATGCACACTAGTTCTCTCTATAACTTTCTTTCTCTACAACACACAAATATGGAAATGAATGCTCTCTAGAACACCTTTTTCTTCCTAGACACCCTAAACACTCCCCCTTAATGACAATTTATACCTATGAACTAAAATCCAAGACCCAAACCCAAAGGCTAGACTGAAAATACATCGGTTTTCAATCCAAGCTACAAATAAACTGAATAAAATTTTCGCCCAAGACTAAAAACAATAAATTCTTAGAAAAGAACAGTATAAACCAAATATTAGACCCAACAATCTCCCCATTGGTTTATAGCTTTCTTTTCTTTTGACCTAACTAGCTCCCCCGAGGTTTGTAGCTTGCTTTTCTTGCCAATCTTCAATATGAGCTTGGCTTCGACGTATATATTTGATTTTCTTGACAACTTCAAGATGAACATATGAATCATCAATAAATGACTTCATCTTGAACATTTGGGATTTACTTCAAGATTTGACTCTAAATGCACATTGGGTGAGGAGGCTTCTTGTAGAGATTCTTGAAAATCAACACGTTCAACTTGAGAATCTTCGGAGAGAATAATAGAGAGACTGATTTTTCTATATCACTTCAGCTGGTTCATAGATAACAGCAAATTGATTGAGGAGGCTTCAATGCAATTTGTCACATAATGTAAATCCCGTGTTTCTAGGCTAGGCTTTAATGATGATGTATTAATCTAGGTCAACCTTTGTAACTTGTTTTGAAATAATAAAGATGTATTATTTGAGTATTATGTGTTTATACTTAATTATTATGATTTAATAAATTAAGGATAAAAATAAGTGTTGATAATAAATATTAAGTAAACCCGATATCTATGAAGAAAGTTGTAGTGGTTGAAACAAGGATTCTGGAGATATAAAGAATACCGAAATCTGAGTTATAACGATGAAGTTATGACATGTCGAAGTTTCGCGACAAAACCGGCACGACGTTGTCTGACGTAAAAGTGAGTTTAGGATAAAGTACTTTTTAGTCTTAGCAATCTAAATGAAATTCGTAGTATATGTTAAACCGAGAGCGTGCATAAATGGGATGTCCAAATCTAGCTTCGTATGAGGAAGTTTTGAATTTTCTAAGATTTGATATAGTAGTATGCAACCCGAAACTCGAATTTTAGATCAAACGATTTTTAGCCGACACAACCTAAATGAGAATCAAAGATCTTATCGATTGTAGTTTAACGATAAAAACACAGATGAAATCGAACGTCGGATGAAGAAGTTATGAATTTTTAACGGATTTTTCATGTCCCAGCCTGTTAAAATATAACTTTAAAAATAAATTCAGAATTGGCCGATGGAGTGTAAACTAAAGTTATACAGCATAATTTCACCTACGTGTGGATATAAAGAACGTAAAAAATGGAGCATGTATGCGAAAGATATGAATTTTTGAATTTCAGGCACAAACTTCGAAGCTGGAAGAACGCCCAGCGTACCAAGAGGTACGCTTAGCGTATATCCAACATACGATCTATGTACACCCAACATACTAATTGTGCTCATGGTCCGAGGTTGGCCATGTAGCCCTACTCCATTGCATGGTGCACACGTGTTCGTAGGTTTGATGGGCCAGAGATGATCCCTTCGTACGCCCAACGTACTCGATGTATGCCCAGCGTAGTGGTTGGAGAAGTAGTATGCCCCTCATCCTATGATATTACGCCCAACGTACTGGTTGGTGAAGCAGTACGCCCCACGTACCAGGAAAGTTACGCTGGTAAATAGCATGTGAAGCCAGTCGAATTGATGTTACAAAGTTTCATCCTCTCACCCTCTACTTTCTTTTATGTTACACTAAATACCCCTAAACCTAAAATATCATCCTAACATCATAAGAAAGCCCCAAAGATCTATAGAAAAAGAATTTTCGAGCCGAAACTCTATCCACATGAAGCCCGTTTTTTTAGAAAACATACCGGTTTCATCGAAAAAGATTGTTTTTAAGAGACGAAGTGCTGCCCAATTATCGTCAAATCATGTGAGTGTGTAGTCACTTTTATCTTACTCATAGATATGAAGTATTTTCTATAAAATACGTGCTATGTGTATAAATATTATTTGTTTATTTGAGATGGATGTTGTAACATCCCAAAATTACGAGCCAAAAATTTCATTTTTGAAAACATATACTTAGGGGCTGTTAGGCAGAATCTGAATTATTAAGATCTGAATTTTTAAGAGGTCTAAATTTCTAAGAGGGTTTGAATTTTTAAGATCTGAAATTTTAACATGTTGTTTGGTTGGAACATCTAAATTGCTATGTTGAATGATAAAAATTACCATTTTACCCTTATGTATTATTTTTTGTTGCATTCAAAATTTCTATTCTATAAAATAACTAAACCAACTTCTTGAATAATTATAAAAAAATATAAAAATCATCAAACAACAAGCAATAAATAATCGAAACATAAATAATAAACAAGAAACTATACAAACTGAATCAATAATCAATAAACAAATAAATAATAAATCATTAACAATTGAATCAATGTTTTTTTTAAAACGAGAAATATGTGATTATGAAAAATAGCAACAACTATTTGTAAAAAATCAATACAACATCCAACCTAACAATGGCCCTCAAAAAAATATTCACAACATTACACACGAAATACCATGAGATCTAGATCCAAGAGTGAATAACAGGAATCCACTATATTTTTTGATCGATTATGCACATAATAGCAACCAACTTTAGCAATGATTCTCAATAATAACAACCAACTCTTTCCTGCACACAAAAAAAAACACCAAGATGTGCTCCATATATTTGGCATTTAAAAGTAAACCATGATTAATATTCAAGAATAAAAATTAATACCAAATGATATGTTTAATCATTGAAAACCTGGTTTGCTCCATACTTAAGCTGTTGAAAAAAAAATAGCAAACCATGCTCTGATTCTTATGAATACTACATAAATTCTAATATCTCTAACTTAATTGAACAACAACCAACAACATATACACATATATTTACCTGTAGATAAAAGGTTTAAGTTAAGGTGACTTATTGATAACATGATCAATTCTTAAATAAGTGGAGAGAAAGGAACATGTACATAAAGTCTCAAACAAAGCAAATTGGTCAGCCCCTAATTATCACATATAATCTCCACAAAATCGGTAACAACAATTTTTGGTTTCTAATCCCTAAACAGCTGAAATCAAATGCAAAATACCCCAGATTGTTGTTTTGATCTCTCTATAATCTAATTGCGATAAAAAGTACCCCAAATCAAATTTGAATTTTGCACAATTGACCACAGGTCCACACACACAGAGCAAATAAATGTATAACAGAAGGTATTCAAGTATCATTCAGAGAGACAGGGGAAGTTGGCAAGGATAGTGGAGGCGATGTCAATGGCGGGGCGACGATGGTGATGTCGCGGGCGGAGTTTGACGGATTGTTGTCCATGGAAAGCCGATTAAGAAAATCAATTTCAGAAATCCATTATTTGATGCTATCAACGAGTTTGACGGGGCGGGACGGAGGCGCAGGCAGCGGTGACGCTAGAGGAGGCGGAGGTGCTGGTGGAGGCATTGACTGGTCGGTGGCTAGCACAGTAGGGTTGCAAGTTGTCGGAGACAGCTTGGGGGAAGCTGTATTGTGAAATAGAAAAGAGAGGAGAAACATGTTATGGGTAAAATAGGAACGCGTCATCTAATTTTTCTTTTCAGATACAATTTTATCTCTGAAAAATTAAGAGGCGTTTTAAGATTAAGAGACAAAAAAATAAGATGCAATCAAACACTCAAAATCTGAACTATTAAGAGGTTGCCTCTTAATTTTTCAATTAAGAGGCTACCAAACAACCCCTTAGCAAAACATTTTCATAAAACATAATAATGTCAGAGTGCAAATCCCCAGGAAGATCTCATAGTACGAAATACAGAGCATGTGTGTGACGGGTCGCTACCGCGCCAACTCTTTCCCCTTCGAAGAAGAGGTACCTGAAACCAAAACTAAAAACTGTAAGCACGAAGCTTAGTGAGTTCCCCCAACATACCACATACCATACAATCACATAGCATACATATATTGTCAGGCATATCTGGGTGCCCGACCTGCCCCTTCGGTCCTCTCGATCGGATACTGTCTAGGATATCTGGGAGTTGGCCTCCCCTTCGGTCCTCTCAATCGGATACTGAAAAGTATATCTGGGAGCTTGCCCCCTCCACTTCGGTCCTCTCGACCGAATACTGACTAGCATATCTGGGTGCTAGTCTCCCTTTCGGTCCTCTCGACCAGATACTGGGGACTATTTCACCCCCTACTACTACCACATAATGCATATATCTTATAATCTATCTATCATGGTTGGGCATGACCGCCCCTTTGGCCTTATCGACCGGTATATTAGGGACTATGTCCCCCTACTGTCACTAGCACATATCATCATATCATACTAGCACATTAGCATATCACAGGTAGTAGCAATCCTAGATGAATATCACAGAGACAAACATCTATCATACAATCCTATTGGTGGGCCGGTATTGTGGCCGTAGACCCACCGCTACTGGAAGGTAACTCACCTCGTAGTTGCTGATCTGTGTGGGAACGGTCTGTCTGCTGCTGCTGCTCCGGAAATCCTCCGGCTGTAATTCCCACCAAACACTTAGTCAAATACTGCTAACCTACCTCAGGGTAAAATGACCATTTACCCTTTATCAAACCATGAGTCAAAGTCAAAGTCAACTTCCAGTTGACCCGACTCACCGAGTTGGCTTGTCAACTCGCGGAGTTCCTAACCCTTTGTCTGACCACTATCCTGTCTCTACTCGTCGAGTTTGGAATTGACTCGACGAGTTTTCCTTCTAAGCTGATGACCAATCGTTCTTCATTCTACTCGCCGAGTTGTATGAACAACTCGTCAAGTTCGTCCTCATCTAAAGAACACTCTATGCTTAGACTCGTCGAGTTGTATGAACAACTCGTCGAGTCCGTTCTTGAGGCAAGAAGATTACCTTGAACTCGCTGAGTCATGGCATTGACTCGCTGAGTTACTACATGAGTGAGTCTGGCTTCCAACCCACTGAGTCACACCCTATGACTCACTACTCCAACCCGCAAACACGCAAAGGGGGAAAACTCCGGGACTCGTGACTCGACTCTCCGAGTCTGCCACATGCAAATACTATACACACGATTATGCTTGAATCTAACCCATGTCATTCGTAGGTTTGGGTTTCTAGGGCCTGGTTTACACGTAAAGTTTCCAACTTTACGTGTAAATATACACCCATGAGGGTTTTAGGGCTCAAAATGCACCAAAAGAGTACATCTAGGGCTTTCATGCACTTGGCTCCAAAAAGGCAGTAGATCCAAGCTCCTGGGGCTCAATCATGCCTAGATCTAGAGGCTAAACAACTTATTACGAACCCTAAGACACAAACAAGCTTGGGAAAAAGGTTCAAGAAGGACATTCATGGAGCTACAAGGGACAATAAGCATGAAAACAGAGGGAAACTGAGTTATACCTCAAGGAAATCACTGAGATAACACCAATATACCTGGCCTCCTTCTTCTCTTCTTGATCTACTCTCCTTCCCTCTCCAAATCTTCAAGAAAACACACCAAAATGCTTCAATCTCACAAGGAACAAGGGTTAGACGATATAGGGAGCTCTGAGGGTGAAGGGGGCGAGCTTGGGGGCGGATAGGAGGGCTTAAATAGGGTGCAAACCCTTGAAATTTAGGGTTTCATCAGACAGCGAGGACTCGTCGAGTCGCCAACTTAAATGTGTTCCGGATCCCATCTCTACTCGGCGAGTCGGACCTACAACTCGCTGAGTCCAAGGCTAAAAATGAAAAAAATACTAAGATAAATTTTACGTACCAGGAACCAGGTGCTACAAATCTCCCCCACATATTTTAGACTTCGTCCTCGAAGTCTGACGCTCGATCCTGAAACAACTCGGGGTAGTGCTCCATCATTTCTTCCACCGGATCCCAACTCCATTCCGAACCATTACAGTGCTGCCATTGCACTTTCACTAGTTCCAACCTCTTGTTCCTTAGATGCTTCAACTTCCGGTCGAGGATTGCGACTGGGTGCTCAATGTAATTCAGGCTGTCATCAACCTCTATATCCTCTAACGGCACCACTGCTGAATCATCCACAAGGCACTTCGGTAGCTGGGAGACATGGAAGGTGTTGTGGATCTGACTGAGCTTGGCTGGCAGATCCAGCCTATATGCCACCTTGCTCACCCGGGCTACAACCCTGAACGGACCAATGTATCTCGGGCCCAACTTGCCCCGCTTCCTGAATCGAATGACACCTTTCCAAGGCGACACCTTCAGGAGAACCATGTCCCCGACATGAAACTCCAGCTCTGATCGATGCTTGTCGGCGTAACTTTTCTGCCGACTCTGTGCAGTCTGAAGCCTGCTTCGAACCTGTTGGATCCTCTCGGTCGTCTTGAGCACCACCTCGGTGCTCCCCATGACCCTCTAACCAACTTCACGCCAACATATTGGGGTCCTACACCTCCGTCCGTACAACATCTCCAATGGGGGATGGTCAATACTCACATGGTAGCTGTTGTTGTACGAGAACTTAGCCAAGGGAAGATAGGTATCCCAGCTACCACCGAAGTCTAGCACGCATACCCGCAACATATCCTCTAATTTCTGGATGGTCCGCTCGCTCTGACCATCCATCTGCGGGTGAAAAGCGGTGCTAAAATGTAGACGAGTGCCCAATTCATCATGAAACTTCTTCCAAAACCTGGAAGTGAACCGCACATCTCGATCTGATATCACTGACACTGGCTCCCCGTGCCGCGCCACTATCTCCCTGATATAGATATTGGCCAACTTTTTGGCCGAGATACTCCTTTGAATCAGAATAAAATGGGCGCTCTTGGTCAACCGACCCACGATGACCCAAATCGAATCTACTCCTCGTGCCGTACTGGGAAGCTTCATGATAAAATCCATCGTGATATCCTCCCATTTCCACAAACGGGATATCCAACAGCTGCATCTTGTCGTGCGGTCTCTGATGCTTGGCGTTGACCTTCCTGCAGGTCAAACACCGCTCGACGTACCACGCCACGTACCACTTCATGCAGGGCCACCAATAGTCTAGGCGAAGATCCCGATACATCTTCATTGCCCCTGGATGAATAGAGAATCGGGATTTGTGCGCCTCCTCCATCAACATCTGGCACACGCCTCCGAGATACGGCACCCACACCCTACCGGTGCAGTGTTAATAATCCTCGACTACCATAATCAAAGGAGGTGACTTGACCCACTATTCGCTCTCTCTTCCGATGTTCCTCCTTCATAGCATCCTGTTGAGCTTCCCAAATCTTCTCTAACAGTGGGGTCACCACCGTCATCCTCATACACACACCCCTGATCGGTGCCGCCTTACGGCTAAGCGCATCGACCACCACGTTGGCCTTTCCCGGGTCGTAAAGGATCTCGCAATCATAATCCTTCACCACATCCAACCACCGACACTGCCTAATGTTCAGATTCGGTTGATCCATGAGGTACCTCAAACTTTTGTGGTCTGTATAAATGGTACATTGAACCCCGTAAAGGTAATGCTGTCAAATCTTAAGGGCGAAGACCACCACCCCCAACTCTAAATCATGCGTCGGGTAGTTCGCCTCGTGAGGCTTCAACTGCCTCAAGGCATAAGCAATGACATGACCCCTCTGCATCAATACCGCACCTAAACCCGAGATGGACACATCACAATATACCACAAAATCCTCTACGCCGTCGAGCAGGGCTAAGATTGGCATCTCGCACAATCTCCATCTCAGAATCTCGAACGCTGCCTGCTGCTCATGTCCCCACCGAAAGACCACGACCTTCCTAGTCAACCGTGTCAGGGGTACGACTATCTTGGAGAAACCCTGAATGAATCTCCGATAATATCCTGCTAATCCTAGGAAACTCCGAATCTTGGATGGAGACTTCGGAACCTCCCATCTCATCATGGCCTCCACCTTAGCCGGGTATACTGAAATCGCATTCTGATTGACGAGGTGCCCAAGAAATTGCACCTCGAGCAACCAAAACTCACATTTAGAGAACTTGGCGTATAAGCTCTCCCTCCTTAAGGTTTCCAAAACCTCTCTCAGATGCTCCTCGTGCTCCTCTTGTGTCTTGGAATAAACCAAGATGTCATCAATGAAAACTATCACAGACCAATCCAACATCGGTCTACACACGTGGTTCATGAGGTCCATGAACGCGACATGAGCATTGGTGAGCCCAAACGGCATCACCACGAACTCATAATGGCCATAACGTGTCCGAAACGCGGTCTTTTGCACATCATCCTCTCTGACCCTCATCTGATGATTTCCTGAGCGTAAATCGATCTTGGAGAACCAAGATGCTCCCTGTAACTGATCGAAGAGGTCTTCAATCCTCGGGAGTGGGTAACGGTTCTTCACCATCACCTTATTCAGCTCCCGATAATCTATACACATCCGATGTGACCCATCCTTCTTCTTCACAAACAGGATTGGGGCTCCCCAGGGTGAATAGCTCCGTCGAATAAATCCCTTGTCTAGCAGCTCCCGCAGCTGCGTAGACAACTCCTGCATCTCGGGAGGAGCCAACCGATAGCGTGCCTTGG